GGAGGAGACTGGCACCTCCCTAAGAAATTTCATCGGTGTGAACTGCCTGAACATGGGAACTGGTTTCATTCTGGGAAGATTCTTGATAAGGAGTTGTAGCTAATAAACCTTGCTGGATTGATTCTGCATGGTCTCCTGGAGTTCCTTGGGCTAGGCCTATCAACAGGGGGCTAAGACTTTGATATTGGGAATTTATGCCCCAAATGAAGATAAAACAGCATTTTACAAAGGACTTATGGATAAACTTTTGTACTGTACATATGAAAATTGGTGTCTCCTGGAGGATTGGAATGGAGTGGCTCCCCACAAAAAGATAGAACTTCTGAGAAAAATATTAAAATAACACAGGGTAAATTACCAAAAACTGATTGAATGGATAATTTGGAGCTTGTTGATGCATGAAGACATAAAAATGGAGATTCAAAAGAATATACTTATTTTTATGAAAGACATAGATCTTTTTCAAGAATAAATATGATTTGAATTTCTAAGACTTTGGCTAATAATGTCTATAAAGTGGAGATATTACCAAAGACATTTTCAGATCATAATCCAGTGACTTTAACTTTTAAAAGGTAATGTCTATAAAGTGGAGATATTACCAAAGACATTTTCAGATCATAATCCAGTGACTTTAACTTTTAAAAGGTAATGTCTATAAAGTGGAGATATTACCAAAGACATTTTCAGATCATAATCCAGTGACTTTAACTTTTAAAAGGAAAAATGGATATTTTAGATGGAGATTGAATGAGATGTTATTACAAAAAGAAATGGAGGTGGAAGATTGTAAAAAGAAGTTAAAGGAATTTTTTGAGAATCTTAATAAAGGTACAGAAGTAAGGATGGTTTGGGATGCAGGTAAAGCTTTTGTAAAAGGATATTTTATATAACACAATAATGAATTTAAAAAGAAGGCAAGAGAAAATGCAAATGATCTTAGATGAGATTAAAAAAAAAGGAAGAAGAATTTAAAAAATCTCCAGGGATAATAACTATAACTCATCAAATCAAGCTTTTACAGAGGCAACTATCTATGTTAACAGTGAGAGTGATGAAAATAAAGATGAACTATGCAAAACAAAGAAGTTTTGAATTTGCACATAAACCAGGGAGATGGTTGGCATACAGGTTGCAAAAAGAAAAAGAAAAGAAGATGATGATGATAAAGTTACAAGAAGGGAATAATGTAATAACAGATAATGTGAAAATGCAAAAAGTGTTTATCAGTATTATACTACTTTATACAAAGGTCAAGAAATTTCCCCAGAAAAAGTGGATGAATACCTGCATAAACAGAATTTACCAAGGATTACAGATAATCAGAGACAAATTTTGAATGGACCTATAACAAAAAGGGAGCTGTGTGAAGCTATCAAAAAGACTAATACAGAAAAGGTACCTGATCCAGATGAATTGCCGGCCTCCTACTATAGATGTTTTGAAGATGAACTTTTACAACTAAAGAGGGACAAGATTTGACTTTAACAAGAAACTATCGACCATATCTTTACTGAATAGTGATTACAAATTTTTTACCGTGATTTTGGCTGAAAGGTTGAAAATAATTTTACAGGATTTTATTCATGAAGATCAATGCAGGTTTTTACCTAAAAGACAACTATGAGATAATATTAGAAATGTTCTGAATATTCTGGAATACTTGGAGCAACATAATGAAAAACAGGCTGCATTGATATTTCTAGATGCAGAGAAGGCCATTGACAATTTGAACTGGGGTTTTTTGTTTAGAGTTTTGGAACACATGAACCTTGGAGATAATTTTATTAAATGGGTAAGGTTGATTTACACTTCTCAGAAAGCACAAATAATTGTTAATGGAGAACTAACACAACCTTGTGAGATTCAAAAGGGACAAGACAAAGATGTCCACTGTCTCCACTTTTGTTTGTTTTGGTTCTTGAGGTATTGAATAGAGACATAAGACAAGATCAGAGAATTATGGAAGTTAAGATTAAAAAAAGAGACTTATAAGTTAGGGGCATTTGCAGATGATTTTGTGTTAATTTTAGAAGATCCACTAGGAGTAGAAGCATTAATGGGAAAATTAAAGGACTTTGGTATATTAGCAGGTCAGAAGACAAAGTTGTTAACAAAAAATATGAAATTAGAAGATCAAATAGAACTGATGGAAAAAACTGGGTTTAAGATTGAGAAAAAAGTAAAATACTTGAGTATGTGATGGCAAATATGAACTGTATGTTATTTCAAAATAGTTATGTTAAGACATGGACTGAAATTAAGAAGGACATGTTAAGATGGGAGAAATTA